AGCAGACACTCCTCTGCCCTAGTTAGGGAGCTGTCTGTTTATAAAGCACCCATGGCAGGTCTAGCTAGGGGAGCCTTTTGGTTGTTGGTACTGCTGGTATGGAGGTGAGTTAACCCTCCAGTTTGCAGCTCTCTATCATTGAGAGCTTGTGCAGGCCCCTTTCTCTTCTTGTTTCGCCCACTTTCTCAGCCCCTAATCCCATTCCCCCTGAAATACTCCTGTAATGTGTTCAGCATGTGTTCTCAGTGCTGTGACTCAGTGCTGTGACCAGGTTTCCCTGCTGGGCGTGCCTCTGATTCGTTGCTCCTGATCATGGCACTCTCTTCCACTGTGTGCGTACCTCACACCCTCTGTCCCCAGCCCTGGTTGCCTTCACTTTCACGTTATACAACTCGTATGCATGTCCTTTTAAGAGCCTGTCAGAGTTTTTTAGCAGTTTAAACTTGGGAGGAGGAATTCTGCTCCTTCTAGCCTACTTTTGGTAGCTTTTGGGTGGCAAAAGGTTGTCATGGAGTTAGAACTGTAGCTTTTAGAATTAGAGCCAAATGAGGGTTCTCGAGTCCACGGGGTGTGTCTCTGGAGCTGGACCTGCTTACTGATAGCAGAGCCAGTGTTCAGTGTAGCAGTTCTTTACATATCTGACTTTATGACTTTCACTGCCATCGTCTTATTGATTCTCCCAACAACCAGTGAAGTAGCAGCACGGATCAGTGTCCCCATTGTGCATGTGGTACCAGCCAAGGTGATGATTTTCCTGAGGGGATGGTACTGAATGAAGACCTAGGGCTTTTTACCCTCTCATGGTCCTGTGTATCCCACTGAACCCACCCTCCCTAACATCTGAGGTCTGTTCTACTCTGCTCAGGGCTATTTTCAGGAGTAAAACTGTGGACCTCACTTAGACTTTAGGGTTATTCTCTTGCCATAGGTGATAGCTTTTTCTTTTTTTAATTCTTTATTTTTTTATTATTTTTGTTAATTTTTTTTTAGGTTTCACTTTTATTAAAAAGTGAAAATGGGGCTGGGCACAGTGGCTCACACCTATAATCCGAGCACTCTGGGAGGCTGAGGTAGGTGGATCACCTGAGCTCACAGGTTTGAGACCAGCCTGAGCCAGAGCGAGACCCCACCTCTAAAAATAGCTGGGCGTTGTAGTGGGTACCTGTAGTCCCAGCTGCTTGGGAGATTAAGGCAAGAGAATTGCTTGGGCCCAAGAGTCTGAGGTTGCTGTGAGCTATGACGCCATGGCCCTCTACTAGGTCAACAAAGTGAGACTGTGTCTCAAAAAAAAAAAAAAAATACTGTGAAAATGGCTGTGATAAGTAGACCTGGCTTTGTTGATTAGGTTAAAATGGTCTGCCCAAGCCACACCCGTCATGGACTGTGACTTGACGCTTTCCCTAGATGTGAGGCATTTGGCCACATATTGGAAGTTGCTGGTGCACGTGATGTGAGAACCTGCTGCTCCCCTAAAATGGCTCACTTTTCTCTGCTGGTTTAGTCTCTTCACGTGTTGGTTTGCTGAGCCTCTGTAGTCTGGTTCTTTCTTTATTTTGAGCTTTTAAGCTCTCTGTTAGTGGATTTTATTCTTGGCTCTTCTTTGGCATCAGCACAGTTTGGGGTTAATGCCACTATAAAAAATAATTTTCTCTTTAATTCATGATGCTACTTTATTGAAAAGGGAATTTTTCATGTAGTAATGTGGACATTATAAGGATAGCAGATTTGGTGCAATTACATAAGCAGAGTTAATATGATTATATTCTAAAAACTAACATCTTCATTTTGTTTGAACTTTCCCCATTTCAGACAACATGCCAACTTGGCTGGCACGCTAAGTGGCCATGCCTCCTGGGTGCTGAATGTTGCATTTTGTCCTGATGACACTCACTTTGTTTCCAGGTACTTGTGATTTCTTAATAGTTTCTAAAATGCTAGGAAGATGAAGATGGTTTTTTTTTTTTAATATGAATTCCTTAAAATCTGAGGATTGTATGACTTTTTAAAAATTTAGGTGGTCTTTGTTTTCTGCAGTTTTAAAAATAATTATAGTAATAATAAATACTAATAATATGAGGGTCAGGCAGGCCAGAGTGTCAGGGACATGGCTGCTTTGTGAGGAGGAAAAGCCCCCAACAATGCTGGTGCCCTGGCCATCTCCTGCACTGAAGGGAGGCCTCTGAAAGTGGAGGAATGTAAATCAGGGAAGGAATGTGAGATTTTTGATCAGATTCCTTCCAACTTCAATCCTGCCTGAAAACTCTTTCTGATACTAATGTTCATTTTTTTAAAATAGTTCATCTGACAAAAGTGTAAAAGTTTGGGATGTTGGAACGAGGACTTGTGTTCACACCTTCTTTGATCACCAGGATCAGGTATGGCATAATTAACATTTAAATTTGTTTTTAGATTGTTGACATTGAGCACTGAGCCAAAAGTTTTCCTAACCTTATTGCTTGATCTGTTGACAATGATAGGCCCCTCTGTATGGAATTGGCTTTTAACATGTTTTAAATGCTTTTCGATGATCCTACAGATTTCTCCCCTTTGTGAATGCAACTTAAAGTTAACAAACATAACTGTTTGTACTTTTATATATTTAAATTGTTGTCATTAAAATTGAGCAGTTGAATTTGAATATTCCACTCCTAGATTTAAACATTTTAGTCAGATAGTAAGCCCTAACTGGTTGTGTCGTCTTATGAGTGTAGGTCATTGCTGCGTTGTTTCAGAGGAAGACGTTTAGTGAGGCAATCACAATAGTAAAATCAGAGTTAGACACCTGTTTCAGGGTTAGGGTGACAGGCTGACCACCTAGAATCACCTCCTAATAATCAGGAAGGAATAATAGGAATAATCTCTATTCCTAACTAGAGATACTCCAGTCACATCAGTTCTGTCTGGGCAAGACATGTGAATCTGTTAATTCAACACATGGCAAATAAAAATGGATGGTCTGGGTTCAGCACCAGCCACACATACCAAAGCTGGCAGGTTCAAACCGGGCCAGCTAACAATAATGACAAATAAAAAAAAATAGCCGTGCATTGTGGTGGGTGCCTGTAGTCCCAGTTACTTGGGAGGCTATGGCAAGAGAATTGCTTATGCCCAAGAGTTTGAGGTTGCTGTGAGCTGTGACGCCACAGCACTTTACTGAGGGTGACATAGTGAGACTCTCCCCCCACCTCCCCCAAAATGGCCTGATAGTCGGCAAAACTGTTGTCTAGCTCCAGGAGACAGGTAGACTCCATAGACCACTCAATAGAGAATTATTGGCTCTGCCTGTGGGCACAGGGAGTGCAGTTTGCAGTTTTCCCTGTAGGCAGTAACCTCAGGATAATTGTGGGGCCTTTTTATTCCTAGAAGCATAATGTTGGTCCCTACGGGTTCCATCTTCCTGATGTTAGGTTGCCCCCTGGATTCTAAATCTTTGAAAGGGCTGTAGATATTTTGACTTTAGTACTGTATTTAAAATGAATTTTTTTTGGAATATGAGAGGGGACTGATAATTACATAGCAATAATGGAGATGCCTGCTTAAAGAAATGGCTTCATTCTCACTGATGTAGAAAGTACAAGAATATCCTGATCTCAGGAGTGGTTTTCTAGATTGAGAATAATGAGAAGAGAGTAAAGATATTCATTTCACAAACATTCTTTGTAAAGAATGAAGGCAATTTTAGAATTTTTTTAAATTTACAGGTCTGGGGAGTGAAATACAATGGAAATGGTTCTAAAATTGTGTCTGTTGGAGATGACCAGGAAATTCACATCTATGATTGTCCAAATTAAACAAAGTCTAAAGAGAAAAGAAAGTCTTCCAGCCCTGTGCTGCAAAGAGAATGTACAGATCATGACATTCCTTACTTTTTAAGGCTGTTTAAAAGAAATATAGCATTTATTGTAACAAAGATTTACATCTTGTAGATAAAATATAGATCTTTTCATGTTTTATTGGAAATGCTGTTCATACTTTAACATAAATAAAGTGTTCTTAATGCAAACACCTGTGTCTCTCTTTACTTATCAAATTACCAGTAGAACAGTGAGAAGAATTGGCATTAAGTGAGTCCGTGCCTCAGAGATCAAGGGATCCAGGCACTTATTAAATGGCTTAGAAATACAGAAGAATACCTCACTTTTCAAGGCTCATGCAGTGAGATACAGCAGCAAGCTTGCAGAAGCCAAGATAAGAAGTTAATCTATTTCAGAAGAGGTCTTGGAGGAAACAATTTGTTTGAGTGGATGAGAACATTCTGTAGTCCTTTCTATGTGGGTATCCTTCTGTTTGATATATTAAAGATGTCCTCTGCCATGACTTCCTATTTACCCTATTAATTTCAGAGCGGTCTCTAACTCCCTGAGTGGGTGCTGGCGTGCAGGCTGCTGTTCCTGCTGCCTTAACAATGCCAAAGTTCATGCTGGCATTGAACTCCAGCCCCACCTCAGTTATCCCAGAGTAACTATACCTTAAGAGCTTTCTCTTCACCAGCCCTCTTGAGACTTGGTCTACGTACGGGCAGGAAAGGTGTTTAGTAGCTAACACTGAGAAGCTTATTGCCTTTTATTGATCATATGTTTGTGAGTCAAGATCATTTGCTTTTCCCCCAAACCACCCATTTCCATCATAATAGAACCCATACTCTCTATCATAGCCCTCTGCTTCTCTCCTGCCCCCCATAACCACATCGACCCTGCCATTTCCTCTGCCTAGAGTGTTCCTCCGCCAGACCTTCAGGGGTCTACTCCTTCACTGTGTTCAGGCAGCTGCTCAGATGGCAGCTCCCTGTAGAGATGGCTTTCCTCCATTCCCTTCTATTTTTTCCCATTCCTCTTATCATTGCAGTTATCACTACCTGATATTTGCATTCACCACCAACCCCCAAAGTAAAGCTTCGTGAGGGCAGAAACTTCATTCCATTGTTACCACCAGTGTGAGGCAGGGTGATACGTAACAGTACTTAAGCTCTCAAAAAGAAAGAAAAAGCAGGCACTTGTCTCTCAGATCAGCTCAATTTTAATTTTAAGGTGACAGATACACAGGTGGAATAAAATTAAGCAACACCCTCCACATTCCTCTTACGTGACAAGGAGCTGAATGTGTAATGTTGTTCCATCACCAACTAAACAATAGTTCTTTAGCAATAGTTAGGAAGTCACAGCACAGACAAAACACCCTGGAATTGTGGTCCATTTAGAAGTTGATTTTCACATCAACTCTGCCAAGTTGTTGGAAGAATCCATTTTCCATCTATCCTGACCAAATGTTCAAAGCAGGCACAAGTGGGGTCTTTCTGTACTTCAAGCAAATTATGCCCCATTAGACTGCAATGTTCTCCAGGAACCTGGTCCATCCAGCTGGCTCACCCCATCTGCGATGGTCTGATCTGCCATTTGCCCCTCCTATGGGAGGTCCCTGCTGTGAGTCAAACTCTCAGGTAGTATATAACCAAATCTGGCAGGGGGCTTCTACTTTAATCCAGCAGTTTAGAAGGCTGAAGTTACTTTTCACAACTTGTGGGAAAGTAATAAGCGGTAATAGCTAAAGGTTGAGGTAACACTAAGTTCAAATTGTAGTCTGCCTGCCAGTGATAATGACTAACATCCTTCCAAACAAGCTATAATTTACAGTGGTAGTCCTTACGAACTGTAGTCCACAGTACAAGTCGGTTAGTGCAATTCTTGCCAAAGTATCACTTAAGCAGGAAGCCCTTTGTAATATGGCTGTACAGTGAGAGGAGTGATCCTTTGGAAGGGAGCTGAACCCGGGAGAATGAGGTGGAAAACACTGAGAAGTTCTATGCCTTTCCAGATCCTCAAGTCCCCCAGAAATACTGGTCAGAGGAGAAGCTGGTGTACCGTAAGGACAAACCACCAGCTTTCTCCCTTGTCTTCTGTTGCTGCACTGAGGTTTCTGGGGGCCTGGAAGGGTTCAGTCTTTAACAAGTGAGCACTTTGGTGGGGGAGCACTGCAAAGATTGTCAACAAAAATCATAAAATCACAAAGAACAAGGTGAGGGAGTCATAGGCAAACAGTTGTATCAACACTGGTTTATCCTCACCAGAGGGCTTGGAAGAGTCAGAAGACTTCCAAAAGAGATGATTAGACACACACCCCATTCCAGTCACGGAAGGGCATAGAACAGTAGGGACTAAGTGACCCTGCAACAATGGGTGTGCTAACTAGGCACGTGAAGCCAAGTCCAAGGCAAAGATGTGCTTTTATGTTTTAAGAGGACTATCTAGAGTCCAGACTCAGAAATGTCTTATTAGCAGCCCTGAGATTACACCCTAGTAACTCTGCTGAGGGAGGGAGGGGAAAGAACCACAGACCTACAGATGGGCCAGGAGGACCACTTTGTGCCTTGGGGGTTGCTAGAGGGCTAACTGCTGCTATCTGGGCTGTGCTTTACTGGTGGGACTGAATTATGGCAAAGCCAGAAGGTCCCTGGCATCTCAAAAGCATATCTTGAAAATGTAAATGAACAGATTCCATATGCAGAATAGAGGTGATTCACACTTAAAACATTTAAATATAAATTAAGCTATAACTTAAGTTACAACCAAAAGAAAAACCAAAAAGACACTCAGCAATTGAATGCTGAACACATACACAGGACACCCCAAACATGACGCCATTAAAGCGATGCCATTTTCATTGTGCCAACTTTACATTCATCGTGTGCTAGTCTGGCGGGCGGTGCTGTACTGTGCCATGTCATGCCGTCTGGCACTGCACTCCAGTCCGGGGCCCATCGTCATCCTCCTCGTAGGCCTCCCCATGCTGGCGCCAGTTCTGCTCACTGGGGTTAAACTCCTTCAACTCCACCTGATCCATGTCATCTGTAATCCTCACTTTCTGTCGAGGAGGAAGCAAAGCTTCCAATTGAGGAAGCTTTTCTGGAGAAAGCCAGTGTTTTTCAGGAAAGATTACCTGTAAAGAAAGGGTGACTACTAAAGAAAGGTAGTTGTTTTGTCCCCTTTCAATTAAGGCATTTAATAATAAGCTCCATGAGAAGAAAATGCAGCAAACTTACTAAAAATTGTATGATCAGAGTCCCTTTTTCCAGGGGTGCTTTGTAAATGGGCATTCCTTCGTTTCGCACACATTTCAGTTCCCCGTGCTTTATCACCTCACCTGCCACAGAAGAGGTTTGGTTATGACACAGGGAGACTGACAGTGATCCGCAGAGGTCAGGCTCCTTTTTGGAAGAGTCTGGGGGCGAGCTCTAGCACCCCTGTGGTAGGAGACAAAGGAAGAGCTAACGCAGCACCTGACTGAAAAGCTGGTCCCCATCCACGTTATCCACGTCTCCCTGTTGGGTACTGCCTGGGAAGAGGTGAGGACAGGACTCTGGCATATGCTCTAGGATCCAGCAGGTGTCAAGGGGGCAGCATGCTCAAGTCTCCATCATTAGGTAGGTTTTTAACAGTGAAATGGAAGTCACAATAGCCAGCCAGGCCTGCATAAAATTGGGCCAATTCACCCGTCAGCTTGCCTCTTCTATAAGGGGGACAAGAGTCTGCTTCTCAAGCAGAGCCTGGAGCAGGAAGAGGCCTCAAAGGAATCCAATCAGACCCCCACCTAGCAGGACAACCAGCTTGTGTCCCCTTGAAGGTGACAGCCAGCTTCCGAGGTAGAGTGCTCACAAGGTGGCCTGGCCACTGGCAATCTCTTTCATGGTGACAAAGCACTTCCATGTAAACCGGTGAGCTGGAGTCTGGGTTCCTGCTTGTACCTACTGGGTCTTAACAGCTGCCATGATTTCAGAAGGCATCACAGAAGTTTAGACCCCCAGAGCTTTGAGGCTCTCTCCCAAGTCTAACAATGTGATTTCCTTCCAAGCATGGAAAAGGAAAAGAACAAAGTATTTCTGGAAAAGTGTCGTTCAGCTCAGTCATGACAATAGACAAAGAAGTAAAGAATTGTTTAGAAAAAATGGGGGGGGGGAGGACATGGAACTAAACACTAATGTATTCAGCATTAGTCCCCCTCCCATAAGGGGACCGTTCAGAAACTGACCTTCTTCAGAAGAAATCTTTAAAATTATGTCATATAAGGTCTTAAAAATAAAGTGTACTTATGACTATTCCCTGGGAGTCATCTATGGGCAGGGCTGTGACTCTGAGTTTTTTTTTTTTTTGGTCAGAGCTCCACCCTCTGAATTCTTTTTCCTAAGAGAATATGTATAAAAGAAATTCATAAAATTCTTTGGAGTCAGTAGTGATGACTTTAAATTTAGAGAAAGATCAAGTCACAATAACTTGTCCAACAGAAGTCAACCTGAAATGTGAATTCAGACTATTCCCAACACAGAAATAATAAGTACTCAAGATGAGGGATACCCAAATACCCCGACTTGATCATTATCCATTCTGTGTACATAAAACCAACACAGGTACTCACTCCATATGAGTACAATTTTTTATGTATCAATAAAAAAATTAGGCTAACTTGCCAGAACCATTATGCCAAACATACATACATGGTACAGAACCTCCGGGGAAACACATCTGAAACATTACCTGATTTGGATGTAATAACAAGGATTCGATCATCCAGGGTTTTAATAGTCTTCTTGAAGCCACAAAGAGCTTCAGAAAGCTGAATTTTCATTTTCATGATTAAGTCATGGCCTCGTCTCTGAAAGACACTATGATCCTTCTGATCAAGCACAATTATGACATCACCAGGCTCCAGCTCAGGCTCCTGATCTCCTTCTCCATGAAACAGTATCTTTTGCCCATCTTTCATACCTATGAAACAGCACCCCTTTCTCATTAGCCATTTCTCATACAAACCATACTTCCTCAAATATTCTGAAGAAAGAATGCAGAGTCCTTTGGGGGTTCTTTGTTGATAAGGTGGGGAGAGGTAGCTGGGATCACCCCTGAGGAAGGAGCCCCTGCTCCCCTTGGCATGACACAGGGCCTGAGACGAGTGTGCACGATGAGGGCAAATGGGGCTCCACTCCTGCCCCAGGCCCTGTGATGCCACATCGTGAGCGAGTCACCACCCACGTCCTAGTGCACACATGATGTGACCCTGGGGACTCATGGGGACAGGACGGCCAGCCCTCTCCTTTTCCACTAAGTCAGTGTGCCTGCAAAAGCACAGGGCTCAGGCCTGCTGGAGTAAGTTCTTTAACAACACCTGTGTTGTTTGGGATGTTGATTATTTTACTTTTGGTATCATCTTTGATATAGGATATACTGACTGGATTAGACAGCTACAGAAAAATCAGGGACTGCTTGGAGAACAGCTGAAAAGAAAAAAGGCCTTAAAATGGAGGGATTGTGCAAAAGGAACAGCTGGGGAAGAGGCAATGTGACACAGCAGAGGGGAACATGGATAAAAGAAATGTACAGCCACAAGGGCTTAGACAAGCTCTTTTGGCTAATGAATGATAAAAACTATTAAGCAGCGCCTGTAGCTCAGTGGGTAGGGTGCCCGCCACATACATCCTGGCTGGTGGGTTTGAACCCAGCCAGGCCAGCTAAACAATGACAACTGCAACAAAAAAAAACAGCCAGGCATTGTGGCGGGCGCCTGTAAGCCCAGCTACTTGGGAGGCTGAGGCAAGAGAATCGCTTGAGCCCAAGAGTTTGAGGTTGCTGTGAACTGTGATGCCATAGTACTCTACTGAGGGTGACATAGTGAGACTGTCTCAGAAAAAAAAAAAAAACTATTAGGAAGAACATTCTAAAAGACTCTAAAGCAGTAGTTCTCAACCTTCCTAATGCTATGACCCTTTCATACAGTTAGTTCCTCATGTTGTGGTGACCTCCAACCATAAAATTATTTTCGTTGCTACTTCATAACTGTAATTTTGCTACCATTATGAATCGTAATGTAAATATATTTAGGCAACCCCTGTGAAAGGGTTGTTTGACCCCCAATGGGGGTTGTGACCCACAGGTTGAGAACTGCTGCTCTGAGGAATGGTTTGTGAATATTAGGAGAGGGCAGCGAACCAAAACTGAGGCCAAGTAAGACTTTCAGAGTGTTAGAAAACCTCAAAGAGGTGGTTTGTCACCTCAACTAAGCAGACCTCAGCAAGAAAGCTTTGGCAGGTGACATGGAATAGAAATAAGTCCAGGATAAGTCAAGGGAAGATGACCTGAAGATAGGCCGAATTCACAGCATGTCCGAATACACACAGTGACCTAGCTCACCTCCCTGATCCCTAACCTGAGTGTCCCACAACTAGCACCTGAGTAGCATTTCCAGCCAGTGTGGAGTGCTAGTTATGCGCAGCCTCACCTTTTTCAACATGTACCTCGATAATCTTCTTCTCACGGATCACCTTGGCGCCACTGCAGCTCTCACATCGGTCCTTGGGGTTGATGCGCTCACCCTGGCCCTTGCACTCAACACACACAGTCTGGATCTGCTGCACCATGCCCGGCCCGATCTGCTGGATGTGGATCTGCATCCCTCGCCCCTTGCATATCGGGCACTTTTCCACCGATCCCTTCTTACCACCAATGCCTGCAGAGATTGGGGGACAGCGGGGAGTAGGGGAAGCAGCAGTGAGAGCTGTGCTCTCCCTGACTTGTGTCCTCGCTGGATCCCACAGCAGGATAGTGAATCATTACAATGGACACTGGGCTTGAAATTCTACTTATAATTAGGGGAAAAAATGTGGAAGAGTCTGGATGACCCTAGCCAAGCAGATAATAATGTCAACATCTGATCTCAAACACTTGTGTCTTTCGCTGTACCAATCCAATTTTTTTACTTTACTTTGGTCAAATGTGTTTTCTTTCACCCCAGGGTAGATAAACCACCACACCCACAGGTAAATGAGGAAGCTGAGGCTGTGGAGATCCAGAGAACACAGCGCTGTCCATAAAACAGCCAATTCCCTGTGGGACAATGTGGCACCGGGGACACCAGATATGACTTTTCTTGAAAACTCAGATTCTAAAAACTTATGTTAATTATATTTACATTTAAGTGAGGGGTCAAAAGACTATGGCCAGACTACCTTGCTCTGTAAATAAAGTTTCACTAGAACACAAGAATGTCCATTAACTTATATACTGTGACTACAGAATTGAGAAGTTAAAAAAGACAGCATGACCCACAAAACCTAAAGTATTTACTATCTGACCCTTTACAGAAAGAGCTTGCCAACTCCTAGATTATGTGAATTGTCTTGATTTTTAAATTTTAAAATAATTGTCAACACATTGAATAGAGGTACTGCTCAAAGCAAAGTTCATTCAGGCAAAAAGATCTGACACTCAGGCCACCTGTTTGCAGCCTCTGCTTGACTCCTGCATTTGAGAAGATGAATTATTTTTCTCTGAACTATAAAAAAAAGCAGACCTGTTTCTAAATCAGAAGGACCACAGCTTTGATATTCATTAAAAATTAATTTTTTACCTTCACATTTCTCACAGATCACGTTTTTCTGGAGGGCCAATTTCTTTGTGACTCCATTATACAAGTCTTCAAGAGTTACAGACAGCTGATGCACAACATTCTTGCCTTACCAAGAGAGAAAAAAGAATTTAGTAATAATGAATTAAATATATCACTGTAATAAATACTACCCATAAGACCCTTAGTTATATGAAGTCTCCAAAGACTCGAAGCTGTGCTGGGGTCATTCACACTTGTCCCCGCAGGAAGCAATACTTCTATTGCACCAGTGTGCCCTCTGGCCCTCTGCCAATAATGGGATCTAATGCCCTCCCCTTAGCCATGAGTGAACTGTTGAATCATTTATAGAGGTCCACTAAGACTTTCCACCTTTATTTTCAGAGACTAAATCTGAGGACAAGGAAATTGCTAACTGAGAAGCCTAAGACCAATGAATGTCTCTGGACCTTTCCTTGAAACTCTTCCTTGGACATAAAGTGCTTTACTTTCTGAGCCCTTTTGTAATCTGTGGCCAACTGGGAATCCTCTCCTCTGCCAAAATCTTGTTGCTGCATTCAGGATGGGGGGCATCTCTTCTTGAGAGTGTGTGTTTGCTCCAGCCTAGCAGCATCAAGATCTCCCTGCTGCCTGTGGAACTCTGGCAGTCACTGAGACAAGGTGTCCTGGTTTATAGGCTGTCAACTTTGAGAGATGACTTAATTAAGAACATGAAGTTTTTCATTTCAAGGCAGAGAGAACTGGGCAAGAAAACATGCAAGGTTGTCATCAGGTACTCACCATCAATTATATGAGCAGGCAGTACACCCAGAGAACAGGCAAAGGTCTTTCTCTTTCTCTAATAAACACTTTGTGTTCAACAAAATTGACACCCAGTTTTTTTTTTTTTTTTTTTTTTTGGAGACAGAGTCACTTGGTCACCCTTGGTAGAGTGCCATGGCATCTTAGTTCACAGCAACCTCAAACTCTTGGGTTCAAGTGATCCTCTTGCCTCAGCCTCCCAGGTAGCTGGGACTATAGGCGTCTGCCACACACCCAGCTATTTTTTAGAGATAGGATCCTGCTCTGTCTCAGGCTGGTCTCGAATCTGTGAGCTCAGGCATTCCACCCGACCTGGCCTCCCAAGTGCTGGGATTACAGGGATGAGCCACTGTGCCTGGCCCCTGACACCCAGCTTCTTACAGCAGTTCAAAGTCAATTATAACGTGAGAACAAGTACAGCTTCATTTATCCAGGGGCCCTCATAGACCAAAACCGCACTTTCTAAACCTCAATGAAGAACTTATTTCTTCTGACTTTATCCAGAATTGGCATAAGCTTGGTTATCTATCTGGTTGCTGGATCCAAAATGGCTTGTCAACAGTAAACTGGACAGGGAGGAAGGGGGCTAGCCTGTTAGAGACTGCTGATAACAGGTGCCCATGATTTGGCAAGAAGTAAGATGTAGGAAGTGCAACCCCTAGAACTCAGAAACAGTGGCCGGGGCCGGGGGCATTCAGCTATGGGCTCAGTTCCTCATTCACCTCCTGGACATGAATCAAAATGCATTCTGAAAAGAAAGGCAGGTAGTTTACCAAGATTTTAAAACACAAAGTGGCAAATTTTGTTCCCTAGAAAATCCCCTGAGCAGACTGAATGTGGCAGATACCAAGCAGGATTAGACAGCCCACTGGCCCAGCCCAGGTCAGGAGAAACCAAAAGCCATGAAGAGAGGGAGGGCACGGAGGGTAAGAAGGGGAAAGCACTCCGATAAAGGGGTAGCTAATAACTACAGGAAGTGCCATTTATATCCCCCAGGACACTCAGGTGCCTGACCCCATTGACAGAGGAAAAGAGGGCAAGGCGAAGTTGACCTTCCTCCTCCCTACTCACCATGCCATTTGCTCCTGCATATGTGGTGTCTGGGGGGTGCCACATAATTACTGAGTACATGAAGAGATTCCAGGTAGCCTGGACACTAGACAAGTGTTGAACTACTTAAGGTTAATGAACCCCAAACGTGACAACTGTACCTTTTTAAAGCATAATCCATACTGATTCCAACAAAATGTACCACTGTGGAAACTATAAAATGTGTATTTCTTTAAAAGCATTTACCTCTTCTCTCTCTAGCCATCCGTCCACCACCACCAAAGAACATGTCAAAGATGTCCATGGGTGAAGAGAAGCTGGGGCCACCTGCACCTCCTTCTTTAATTGCCTGTTCTCCGCCCTGGTCATAAATGTCCCTTTTCTTTGGATCGGAAAGCACTTCATATGCCTGGGATATGAGTTTAAACTTGAAAAGAAAAAAAAAAAAAAAGAGAGATTTAAAAAAAGCAGAGCAGGGAGGTTTGAGTTGTTTTATTTAAGCAAACCTACCGTATAAATAGGAATAACAGAGGTATTCTGCATCTGATCCCTCAAACTAGCCAGAATACTTCCCCTGTCTGGAACTTCCCATCTACTTCCTTTGTAAACCAGGAAACAGAGGACAAACACTGCTAAGAACTGGTGGCAGGGACACTGCAAGGGAAAGGGAGAGAGTGCAGCAGAGAGGCAAAGTTTTACCCCACTCTGGCTGCACCAGACAGAAGCTGAGTCCAGCTAGGATGCAATGAGACCGTGCCAGAGCTTAATCCATGACTAGATAAGCCCAAGACTGCAGGTGCTACCAGTGGCTTTCCAGCCCTTGGGAATCACTTTACTATTTTACTAGCATGAAATTCAACTCCAGGCACCCGTGAACACCCACATACTAAGATACTGGTGTAAACCTGTATTCCTGACTTACCCCAAGTCCTGCCCTCCCCCTGAGTCTTCCCCATATCTCAGTTACTATTAATGCCAGCCTCACCTGCCAACAAATCCTGTTGGCACTACCTTCATATATGCACTTCCAGTACCCTAAGACAGACACAATATCCCATGAATAGCTTTCCTGCCAAAAATGTGTCACTGGAATCCAATTGTAAGAAAAGAATCAGAAAACCCAAACTGAGTGACATTCTGCATGAGTTAAAGACAGGAAAACTACATGCAATGCGTGATGCCGGATCAGGTCTTGCACTGGGAGAAAAGAATGGCTGCAAAGGACATTATTGGAACAACTGGAGAAATAGGAATCTTTTTTTTGTGTGTTTGATAACTACACTAGGTTATGGACAAGGATAAGGATGCCCTTGTTCCTAAGAGAGACATTTTGTAGTATTTGGGCTAAATTATTACGATGTATACAACTTAGTCTCAAAAGCTTTAGCGAATAGTCATAATAATAAATAATAACAGAAAAAGCAAACCCGACAACTTATTTACAATTGATAGAGTAGGTGCAGGATACACAGGTGTTTATTGTACCACTCTCATCTTTTCTGCAGGTACGTGAAGTATTTAAAATAAAATCAGAACACTAAAATACGCAAAATCCCTTCCTTCTCACCAAAGCTGCATCCACCCAAGCCAAAGGCCCTATGTCTGGACTACTACAGTAACCTCCTCACTGTCCCCCTCTTCCCACCTCACCCCAGCTTTCAGTCTGTTCTCCACCTCAGTGCGCTAAGTGTATGTATTCTCTGCCCAAACCTATATAAGGTAGCCCAGGCCACCAGGAGTAAATGCCAGTGTTGACTCTCATCTATAAGCCCTGCATCTCTTGCGCCCCATCCTCACCCCCAACTCTGTGCCGGCCTCCTTGCTCTTTCTCATCAACACAGTGTGTACCTTGGAAGCAGCTCCACCTGGTATGGCCTCCCCACTCACCTCTTTCAAGCCTTTGTTCAAAGTTTACCTTCTGAGGAGGCCTCCCCAATGGTCCAGCTTTAAGACTGCAAGCCTCCCCCCAGCCCCTCCCACCACCCTCCCCTGCTTCATTTTTCGCCACGGCATTAAGCAGCACCTAACATGTTGTATCATCTACGGCTTATGTTGTATCCCCCATTGCAATGTAAGCTCCATGAGGACAGGAACTTTGCCCACTGATGTCTCCCTGAGCTTACAACCATATCTGACACACAGAAGGCACTTGCAATTATTTATTGGATGAATGGCTTGAATCTGAGAATTTAAAAATCAATAAGTGAGGTAGTATCTTGGACCTCGAAGAGGCAGTTTAGTCCGGAAGACATATGCTACACAAACACCTTATAATACAGAAAAAGTGCCATGAACACACAATTACAGAAATTGAAGATCCTAGATATTTCCCTGTTCTACATATCCCAGATTGAGATCTAATAAATAACTAGTAAATAACAGCTACTAACAAAAAACTGGACAATTTAAAAATTAGTCTTAAAATCAACAAACATCATAGAGAAACATGGTGGCTCATGCCTGTAATCCTAGCACTCTGAGAGGCTGAGGTGGGAAGCTCCCTTGAGTTCAGTTCAAAACCAGCCTGAGCAAAAGTGAGACCTTGTCTCTACTAAAAATAGAAAACTACCTGAGCATTGTGATGGGCACCTATAGTCCTAGCTACTCAGTAGGCTGAGGCAGGATAATCACTTGGACCCAGGCATTTGAGGTTGCTGTGAGCTAGGCTGATGCCACAGTACTCTAGCCTGGGCAACAGAGTTAGACTTTTCTCTCAAAAACAAACAAAAAAAATCAGCATCATATAAAAAACAGCTACATCTTTTTATGTTAATTCTCATACCATTCACTACTACCCCTTTCCTTAGCAGAAATATTGAGGTGAGCCTGGAATGGAAGACAGGAAACAACTAGGCCAGACTGTCCCTAGAGTGTTTCTGGGCTTGTGTGCAGGTCAGAGACTAGGTAAACATGCTTAACATGGGTGTCTACTAGAAATACTCACCAAATAGCCTGGATACTCACGAGACCCTTGGACTTAATAGAATTAATCTACGAATGAAGAAAGAAATACCCTGTTGCTTGGGACATTTAGTCAAAGGTCAGATCATACATGGGATGGGGGCTTCCAATACCATTAGTGGGTCCACCGCACTTCTGAGGTCCCAGCCCTCCAGAGTCCAGTTCAGTTCCCTGCCAGGATCCCTTTCTCCCAGGTGGAGAGTAGTGCTGTGCCCAGCTTGCCTTGCAGCCACAGAATCTTAACTAGATTGATATACAGCTGGGCAAAACAGCTGAAGAGTATGCAACAACTTGGAAATACTTATGATAAAATATTAAATGGAGACAGAGAAGAAAATGGTCTATTCCAGGATGACCATGTATAATTATCCTAGGGAAAGCTTGAAAGGAAGCACGGCGTGATTATAATGGCATGTACTTGGTGGTTTTTCTTCTGTATTTTGAAATTTTCTGTATTGTTATATTATCTTTTATTATTTTTTAACTTGAAAACCTGTTATTCAAATAAAGTTCCAATGAAAATGACCAAAAGACCAAACTCATGGTCATAAGGTAACAACCAAGAATATGCCCCATCCCTGCCCCTGAAAGAGATGATCTTGCTGACCTACTACCCACCGGCGTGTCCTGCAAAAAGCCTGTCCTGTTAAGTACAGACTCCATACAGAGCACCTAACAACACATGCAAGCTTCCCCAACGCTTAGCAACACAGGACAACAGAGCTGAAAACAAAGACCAACACCCCAACGGCCTTCTCAGTTGTCCTGGTGCAAGGGGGGAAAGGACTGACATAATCTATTTTTGAAGAGACACTAATAATACAGTGACAAACTTAGGAGAAAAAAATTTAAAGGTTAATACTTGTGACAGATAAAGTGGAAGAGCATCACACACACACGCCTACAGTGTACCCAGCACACAGTAGGAGCAAAAGAGTTCTATGGTGGATGAATAAATGAATGAATGAATGAGCCCTCTCTGGGAAACTTTACAGCAGAATTTCTACAACTGAGTCTCCGCTGTCCTTATCCACGTTGATTTCCAATCCAAATTTCCACTGACCTTTCAAGCCCTCCTCCACTGTAACCTCCCTTCCAGTCTGTGCCTTTATTGGGCTCTCTCTTCCTCCTATATAGAATTTCTTATTTTCTTCTCATGACATTGCTATTCATTCACTTAGCCAGCCAACAAATATTTTAGTACCTACCCTGCACAGCTAGACACATAGCCCATAAATGGCCTTCCCTGGATATACTACTGCAGGGAATATGCGTATCAAACAAGTAGCACCATTAAAGTAGGATGAATACTGCCCCAGTGGTTCAGTCTATGCTCAATAGGCAGCCTCCAGGAAGACATTTTAGCTGTGAACTAAACAAAAGGACTTTATCCCCTTCATTAAGGGAAGAAGAGGGCAAGTATTCCTAGCAGTGGGAACATTACAGAAGCCCCCCAGGCTCAGAGAGACCTGTCACATCTCACTGCCAAAAGTTCATTTATGTGACACTAATTCAGTGCCTGGCTATTAAAAAAACTAGTTTAAAGCAAACAAAAGAACCTGCCCAGACAGGTATGTGAAGGCTACATATGTGTAGTACAGGCCAAATTACATTTCTTTTTTAATAAAAGTTTCAGAACAACAAAAGCACACTCATTTCAAACCGTATGAACACAGTCATGAACTCACTCTCGGTGAGTGCTGTGAGATTTGACTCGAAACCAAGGCTGGAAGACTTTCCCACATTTATCCAGCCTGCTAAAACATAAAATCAGAATCCTAAAAGGTCTTCTTAAAGGGACTGTCAGAAATACTACAATGAATTTAGGGAGGCGATCTATGAATCACCAAAACCATGTAAAAAGTCTATGACTTTAAAAGCTACAGTAAGCCACCTAAATATAGATGAAAAAGAACATAAGTAACACAAATGGTCTTACAGGAAAGCATTTTAAACTTGTGACAGGCACCTGTGGCTAAATATAAACATTCTATCACCGTTGCCACTCAGCCAATCTTCCTAAAGTGGCCTTCTCAGCTTGGAGTAACTAATGCAGACAGGTATTTTGATTTAAAAGTCATTTCTGCAGGTCTAAATGATAGACAGGTGATCAAATGATGGCTTCAAAAGTGGCCCAGGTGTCATTGCTATAGAATACCATACCAGCCTCACATCCCAAGACACATCTGGAATTAAAGTTTCATAAGACATTTGCAAGAAGTAAACGGAAGAATGCTTAGGCCAGTTGACAAACTTCCTCGAAATACTATTCCTTCAAGTCACCTATACAAGTGGGTCATGAGCCTCTCTGGAAATAAAAAAGAGTGTTTTATAAACAAGATGAAAGTTTAGGTCCCTATTATGCAAAGGATTTAAAGCCTGTTATTGGCACTTAAGGTCAACTGTGGGTCATCTGTCATAGAAAACATGGAATATGCATGTAAGCTGATACCAGGTTGCAGATGTTCAGTCCCCTGTTTAATAAAGAAAATGGATTATTCAATGTCTGACCAGTGTATCAGGCAGAAGGTAGGCCAAATCCAACCAGTCATTCTCAAGAGGGACGCTGGGTTTATCCACGGTAGTAGTTCAGATGAAAGAAACTCATGCCTAGGAGTGATGCATCAACAGGGAACACGAGCCGGTGGTTGTCAGCAAATATACAACTCCTGGCCGTGAATGCTTGTGTTTCCCGACTTGCTGGCTCCCTCTCCCGTGGTACTGCCCGCACACCCTATGAGAACTGGGCTCCCGCAATCCAGCCCCAGAGGATCCTTGGGATCTAGCACAGACGGCGGGGGCTCCGTAAACACTTGTGGAGGTGGAGGAATGAATGGGCTATGCAGGGACTCACAGGGGTCTGAGTCCCTCTGGTCCCGGGCACCCTCCACCGGCCGCCCCCACCCGGCCCGGCCAGCTGAGGTGACAGTCTCTGGAACTAACGCGGCTAGTGCTCCCTGCTGCTGCCTTCAATAATTCACAGCCCGGGTCCTCCCAGGCTGAATAATTCACAGCGGGCCGCAACGCCCGGCACCAGCCCGGCCCGCGCCGCCCCGCACCTTCTCGCCCTCATCCGGGTTCTTGTCCGGGTGGTACTTGAGCGCCAGCTTCCGATAGGCCTTCTTGATCTCCTCCGGGGAGGCGCTGGGCTTCACCCCCAGGATGTCATAATACTGGGTCTCCTTCACCATCTTGTCTCTGCGGGGCGGGACGGGCGAGCACGGTCAGCGCGCCCCGGACGCCCCCCTGGTCCGCGCCCCGCTGCCCGCCCGCTTCACGCTCGCGGCCACGGCCACGGCCGCCGCCCGGGGCTCCCTCCCGCTCGCCCGCGCTAGGCGACCTCCGCTCCCGGCACCGCCGCACTCGAGCCGCCGGCGCCTCCGCAGCGGGTTTTATTCCGCGCCGGCGGAAGGTTCCGCCAGGAGACTATGACGCCACAAAGGCCTGGAACTTTCGCGGAGGTTCCGGCGGCGCTCGGGGCTGCGGGGCAGGCGCGCGGTGCCGGGTTCGTGGCCCCGGACTCGTGGTCCGGACCTCCGACGCCCGGCCCGGAGCGGCCCCTCCAGCTCACCCGGTGTCCTCGGGCGCCTGCTCCTCGGGCTGCCCATCCGATTCCCCGGAGCTCCAGTTCTGACCGCCGCCGCGGGCCATGTCCGGAGTCTTGGAAGGTGGCTTCCGCCTGGTGGGCGCCTTCTGAGGACCTTCCCGCCGCCCCGAGGCCGACCCCCTGCCCTTCCGAGGGTCCGTGGGACCTGCTGGTTCGCGGGTAGGGTGGCCTGGAGGATAGTGTCGGCGGGAACTCTGTGCCGAGGAGGTGGACTGGGAGATCCGCGTCCTGCGGACGCCACCCGGCCTCTCCCCGGGGGTGTGGCCGCCCTCTGTTGGGTCATAGCCAGGATGTGCGCTAAGGCCTGCCTCGGATTGTTGCCCTATTGAGGCGTTTGGAGTGGATACGGGCCCTCTGTTGCGTTGGGGTCCCGGCTTCGGAATGCCTGCAGCTGCCGGTGCTCCCCGTGGCATCTTCAAGGCTGGGGTGAAACTAACTCTTTCCAGATGTGTACAGGGTGGCGCCTTCGCTAGCCCCAGGTGGAAACAGTGGTCTCTCTACTGCGCATCACTGGGAACCAATTAAGGCCCTCATGGGTGAGCAGTGACGTATACCAGGTGTGAGCAGTGACGCCAGTCAGATTTAAGCAGCTGCGTACCCCTAAATCTCCCAAAGGTGATAGTGCTCCCACTTCTTCAGAAATGGGAAACCACCCCCTTCTCTTCACTGATCATCGAGTGAACTTACCAGGGCTGGGTTGGGCACATCATGGGGTCCCGCAGCTGAACACTGACAGGGTTGGGCAGCCCAGGAAGAGCACAATAATGGGTCCCCAACTTCCCCAGGCTACTCTCAGTTCCTGGTCTGTGCACCAGAAGTCAAGATCAAGACCGGCTGCAGAAAAGGCATGGAAAGCAGGCCCTTATCCCCCAGCCCCGCCTTGGCTTGTACGGTGGAACTCTGTCAAGGAGAGTGGGCGTACTCCCTGGGATCCCTTGGCCTTGCTTTGGGTGCTATGGCTTAAGCAGTCGCTTACCCCCTCCTTTGTGTGTGTGTGGGTGTGTGTGGCAGTTCTCTTTACTTTCCAAGAAAAATTAAGTTGTTCCTCTTCATTCTTGGGGACATTGCCCTCTGAATTATGCCCTGTAGAGCGGAACATTTGGGCAGAGAACTCAGAGCTGGAGGTAAGAAATTTTGGATTATATGTCCAGATCTTATTGATGATATGTTGCCCTGGGTAGAGTACAGTGTCATAACAGCTCACAGCAACCTCAAACTCCTGGGCTTAAGCTACTCTGTTGCCTCATCCTCCTGAATAGCTGTGACTACAGGCGCCTGCCACAACGCCAGGCAATTTTTGTTGTTGTAATTGTCATTTAGCAGGCTAGGACCGGGTTGGAACCTGCCAGCCCCAGTGTATGTGGCCAATGCCCTGGAGCCGCTGAGCTATGGGCACCCAGCCTCCTGCAGTAGTTTTTACTGATTAAATTCTGTCTTTACCATTTTAACTAGTGTCCAGCTTTGTTTATCTTTGACAAAGCTTTTGACTATCTAGATTGCTTCTCAGAACTAGACATGGGAGGATTTGAGGCATTACACAGACGTTTCTTACTTCATCAATTATGTGTTTATTTTCATGATTACCTTTTCTTTACTGCAATATTTATTGCAAGTGACATTGGTTTTCCAATCATGGGAAGCAATGTAAAGTTTCCTTTATTTTTTTTAAAAGAGTAGATAGTGAAGCATAAGATAGTACCACAATAAAGCAAAAATGGTGACGGTTGAATGAAAACTGATTTGGGGAAAACTGATCCAATTCTACCTCTTCATTTTGCAGTTGGGGAGACTCTCAGACAAAGAGGTCAAACCAGTGGGCATGGAATGGACATTATCCCCTGACACTCAGTGCCATACTCCCTGTCTGACCTGGGGTAGAAGAAGAATCAAGGGAAGCATGAAAGTAGCTTTTGTCCAAAGAATTCTGGGGTAGGTTCTCCAAGGAGAAGGACTCATGGACATGTGCTGTTAGTCTGGGAAGTTAGAAGTTCCTTGAGTGAACATAGTAGGGAGGGGAGACATGCTGGAGGGACAGCAGAAATAAAGGCTGAGAGCACAGACGGATGAAGTCCCTGGATTGGGAAGGAAGCAAGGATAGGTGTACTGGAGTCTGGATGCCTTGGGGAGGAATTTGCTCCTCCTTTGGTGGACCCTGGGGAGCCATTGCCAGTCTCAAAATAGGACTTGAATTCCAAAAGGAACAGCAGCCATCGGGGCAGGTGGGTCAAGACCCCTGAGAGAGATCTGAGTGGGATGTAAGGGCAGATTCAGGAGGGCATAGGAGGAGGAAGAAAGCACCAAGGAGAAACCTTGAGGGGAGCACCTGCCTTTAGGAATTGGAAGTAGGAGAGGAGCTGAGAAGTGAAAGGCCAGAGCAGTGAGAAGGAGCAGAGGGACCAGAAATGGTGGAGCCAGCACTTTGAAGGGAGGACACAGGGCTTCTCCAATGAGAGGATGTTAGGTCCCCCCCCCCCCCAATAGCAGTTGTCATTTGGGCCATTGTTTCAATATCTTGAGGGATTTCTGTTTGGAGAGACCCTGCCTCTTGCTGTGTGACTCTGGGCAAATTACCTCTCTGAATCTTCACTTCCTCTGTATAATGAGGATAAGAATGTCTGCTTTATAGGGTTATAGTTATAAAGTTATAAAGTTATATAAGTTATATATAGTTATATATAAAGTTATATATAGTTATAAAGTTATAGTTATAAAGATGAATAGGGACACCTACTCACAAAAAGGAGTTTATTAATTTCATCTCAATAAGGTTAGTGTGCACCTGGTGGCTCTGTGCTGGGAATAGACAGTACAGCTCTAGATCAGGGTTATCCCTGTCCTTGAGGAGTTCATGGACTTGCCATGCCAACTATGTGCATCTAAACATTCAGGGTGACCTCTAGAGTGGGTTGATTTTGCTGGCGCTCCAACCCCTTGAGAGTACATAAGAACACATACCAAAACAGTTAACCCTGGCTATCTTGCTCAAGTGGATAAAACCCACACCTCAGAGATGCGTCTGTGGGTTAGGGCTTGCTCTCTGAGAGGCGGTTCCCTTCTGGAATTGAGCCTTCACCCAGAGCTTTGGCCAGCAGAGGTTGGGGGGTGGGGCTCCGTTTGGGGCAGGAAGAACTAAGAAAGGGAGCGGCTACCCTGCTGCATACTTGGACTTCTTTACATGAGGTCCTCTCACTGGGGCACTCTTCCTGTGAGGTTCCAGAGTCCCGAGAGAAGACATAGCTATCATCCTTTCAGGGTGATAGTAAAGCGCCTTTGGTGTCTTACCTCTGCTAGAGGCAGTCCCTGCACAGAGGGCAAGGATGATTTGAGAAATAAAGCTCCAACTGCATAAAGGAAAAGTATCCTGTTGAATTCTGGTGGTCAGGGAGGTTTCCTGGAGGACACGACCTTCAAGTGAGTCGTGGAGTTTGAGACGAAGCTGGACAGACACAGACAACACTATGTGTGAAGGTCCCTAGGCATCAAAGACTTTCCTCCTGAAGAACCCAAAGGAACCGTGTTTGTGAAACAGATGGAGCAAGGCTGCGGCCCTTAGGGCAGAGTTGGATTTTATCCTTAGGGTGGCAAGAAGCTTCTAAAAGGCTTTAAGCCAGGGGATGTACTTAAAAAAAAATGTCCTTAATATTTATTTTGTAACTTTATTTCATTAAAATCACTATGTTGTCATAAATAGCATCCTTGCATACTTTTTATTTTCAGTAATGTCAGATTATAAAACATTTCTTGGGCCATTATAGCTGTTAGTCTTAAATTGAAACCATTTTGCTCTTCTGAGACACAACAAAATTCTCAAAGCAACAGGCAGCACCTGTGGCTCAGCAGGTAGGGCACCAGCCCCATATACCGAGGGTGGGGGGTTCAAACCCAACCCTGGCCAAACTGCAACAAAAAATAGCCGTGTGTTGGGTGGGTGCCTGTAGTCTCAGTGACTCGGGAGGCTGAGGCAAGAGCATCACCTCGGCCCAGGAGTTGGAGGTTGCTGTGAGCTATGACACCACGGTACTCTACTGAGGGCGAGAAAGTGAAACTCTGTCTCTAAAAAAAAATTCTCAAAGCAATATACTCAGATTGGGAAATGTTGAACTATGTATTTTTTGCATTATGTTTGAACATTGTAAGATAAATGAGAGTTACTACAGAAATACTACAGATACTGTATTTAATTCCATCATATAATTGCTATTGTTTTCTAAAAACTGTTGTAGAGCTGTCGTCAACACACAATGAATGGTACGTATTTAATGTGCACCGTATGATCAGTTTTTTTTTTAACCACTTTAACTTTTATTTATTAGTGTTTGTTGTCAAACACTAATACTTTGTCACCTTTGGTAGAGTGTGATGGCGTCATAGCTCACAGCAATATCCAGCCAACTGTTGGGCTCAAGTGATTCTCTTGCCTCAGCCTCCCAAATAGCTGGGACTACA